ATCTTGGGGGCGTTGTTGATCGTATTCCTCTCTTGTTCAATCCCAAGCACTTGATAGTCAATGCCCGAGTTGGTCAATCCCGAGCACTTGATAGTCAATGCCCGAGTTTTCTTCATACAGCTCTGAGAAAGCTAAAAACAATGGCTAGCTAAGCCGAAGGAAATAAACATCAGAAAACAAAAAGAGCAAAAAAATAATAATAATACTAAATAAAGTCCTCAGCCCCAGCCGAGCTTCTTACCACCTTGGTACTTTTGGCTGAGACCGACGACAGCGAGCATCTTCTCCTGGAAGATATAATGGCAGCAGGGCAGCCAAGTAGCAGGCACATTTTCCATTCGGCCCAAAGCTCTAGGCTCTTACATCTTCTTCCTGCCGAAGAGTTTCATCTGTTTCAAATCGGCCTCAGAGAACTCATCAGGCCCGATACTGAACATCTTATGATCAGGCTTCCTCAAGTATCGGGGGCCACCAAAAAAATTTGGATGATCCTCGTCTGCAGGCGCCCGAACCTAGATCCATTGGCGTCTTCAGTCCTTATCTGAGGTATCATTTGGATAAGTAGAAAGGAAGCCCCTCTCATCTCCGATTTGCCACTAACCGGGGCCATGCCATTTGTTGGATTGTTTATTCGGCATCAACTTGTGCATGCAGCGGAAGCAATGCACACTCGGCACAAGCTCGTAAATTAGACACACCCAAAGATAATTCATTATTCTTCGGATGCCGGGAGGGGTCAATTGAGACAATGAGATGTTGTACCCGTTCAGCACTTTGATTATAAAGGAATGGGCAGGAAACCGAAGCCCGTATTGCAGCTGCCGAGTATATACCCTAATGTAGCCTGGTGGAGGACGGTGAATTCTTTCATCGGCAGTGGGCATTCAGCATCCCATCTTCCTCCATTGTGCCGTAAAAGATCTCAATTTGCTCAGAAAAGCAGTACATGGCGCTGTTTTTGACCCACCACGAATAAGGTCGAGCCGTCATAATGTCGTTGTTCTCGTCCACATCCGTCCATTCCCTTTCCTCGGTAGTCAAAGGCCTAGATGACGAAGCCATGCTTCAGCCAGAGGTGCTGGCTCCTTCTGAGGCCCTAGGGGGCAAAGTGGTAATCGATATAGCCCTAATTGCAGCCCAACTTGGGGTAGTCGCGGCTCCAATCCTGACATTAGGGTTCTGATCGCTGAGGAGCAGCATCATTGCCAGAGGACGATTTCGTCGTGGAATCAACTGCGGCGCCTCCTCCTCCACTTCCTCAGCTTCCACAGGTCTTTTAACACGGTCTCCGGCCATTTTCAAATAGTGACGGTGCGAGGAAACGGAAAAAAGAGGGGTACTTGAAAAAGCAAAGAAAACCAAAAAAAAATTCAAAGAAAATTACCTTTGTCGGATGCGAAATTTGCCGATCTATGGATTCGGAGCAACAAATTCTATTTTAAAGCTTCGGATTGCTGAGTATAAGTGGAAAAAGAAAATCGGGTTAGTAGCGAAGATTAGCGAGAAGCGAATGTGAATTAGCGAAATGAAATAAAGAGAAATGTGGGACGAGTGGCTTAAGTACCTTCCAGAAATGGGAATTTCGGGAGTCCGCGCCACTAAAATCCCCACTAAATCCACTTCAATGCTCAACTGTCCATATGCTTCTCTAATTAACCGCCCACTAAACCATCCAACTTCCCCATTACTTCAAAAAATAACCGTTATTTCCTCAATAACCCCCAAATTTGAATGCTAATTAAATCATTTACTTCCCTCCATTTTGCAAGTCAAAACCCACTTCGTCACACTGCCGAACCGGGTCTTGGGGGGCAAGTTGTTTGGGTCCAATGCACTCCAATTGGGCCGGTCCAAAAATGATTCAATTACAAAAATCCAAAGTAAGGTTCAACTCTCCAAACATACGTCAAGTCAGTCAAAGGCCTGGTCAACGTGGCAAGCCCATTTGATCTCAAGGCCCATTTATCTATTGGAGCAAGGTATAAAAGCCTTCATTCTTCTCTCTCTACATTCATTCACTTGAAGCCTCAAGCAATTAATACTCTTTCATAGCTTTCTCTCTCTAAATTACTGTACTGACTTCAGCATCGGAGGGGTCTTACTCGGCACAACCCCCGATGCCAATTTACGTGTGTTTGTTGTGCATGAAATCCTCGTCCCAGTCATCACTTGGGCCGAGTCTAGTTTTCAGCCCACAAGAAAGGTCTAGACGAAGGACCTATTGTTTTCACCCGAAACACAACCTAACCATAACCTCTTCATATAATATATCCTTTAAACTTTATACAACGTATTGTATTATAGCTAAAATTCCAAATATATTATGCTGAATATTAGTTTTCCAAAGTCTATCAAATTTTATGATCTTGTTTTAAGTTAGAAAATAAATTGTACTGATGGGGGTATACAAATGAATTCTTGTAATTACAAACTTACAAATTCAGACAATAAATAGTTTACTCTTCTATATATTGAGTAGGACTTTTTGTCAAATAATACCTAAAAAAACCCAGATTTTGTGAGAAACTACCTATTAAAAAAATATGTTGTAAGAAACTACCTAATAAAGATAAAATGTTATAAAAAAAACTACCTAGAAAAAGGTAAAATGTTGTAAAATACTATGTACACCGGATTTCCACTGTTGACCGACCTCAAAACACTCTCGAAACCGCCTCTTTCATTCCCAAAACTAACACAACTTGCTTAAAATCGCTTCCACCACGCTTAAACCACCTTCCAACCCCAAATCCACCACCTCTAAGCTCTAACCCCCAAATCCACCACCTCTAAGCTCTAACCCCCAAAACCACCATCCAGAAGCACTAATTACCCTCACCAACTCTGAATACCCTCCAACCACCCTAAAAATAACCTTACCACCTTGAAAACCAACCCTCACGATGATTTCGAGGGTGTTTTGAGGTGGATCAACGTCGTGAAATTAAGTCAACAGTGAGAATTCAGTCAAAGGTAGTATATTACAACATTTTACCTTTTATTAAGTAATTTCTTACAATATTTTTTTTATTAGATAGTTTGTCACAAAATTTATGTTTTATTAGGTAATTTCTCATAAAAAGTTCTATTGAGTATTAACAATTGGTTTTAAAATGAAATTATGCCGCATATGATCCATCTCTCCTTGGATGTAGACTTATGTTTGGCCTACGTACGAGTAATATTTGGTTATACATGTAGGGACTATATCCGATCTTTTGTCGAAAGAAGTAGTTCAAATGTACGGATCCGAGATTGCCACAAATTCTCAGTATAAGCCATTCATTCATTTGAGTTTGTTGCTTAATAAAAGTGAGTATGGATCCAACTTATCCCATTAATGGAAATTAATTATACTCTATATAGTTTAGACTATACTAAATTAGTATCTACGTGTTACACGGTGGTGATAAGTAATTAATCCATATTTTTTTAATATCTTTTTTTGTTGATAAATTTTTAATTTTTTTTTTAATTTTTTTGTATAAAGATGTTTTTTGTAAATATAAAAAAACATGTACATATTCTTTTTTTTAATGGTTATTTTTTTATGCTACATCAAAATATTTACTATGTTATTGAAAATATATTAAAATAATGGTTAGATAAAATATATTTAATGTTGTATATCTATTGAGCTTATACGTTTAGAGTGGAAATTAAAGACACAGTATCTATACCTATAAAATATTGTTGTACTATATTAGGAATATCCAAAATTAGTACGGAATATACAACAATATTGATACAAAATTCAAGTTTTAAATTTTTAGTTTCATACCTACTTTGTCCTAATTTCTAGCAAGTAAAAAAAAAATGATAACATCATATTGAAGTTTGAAGGGAAACTTTTTAATGAGAGTTTGACGCATAAGACACTTTAAGAAATTGATGAAATCAGCACGTTTTATATTAATGATATTTAATAGATACTTCATATAACCATATTTCCCGTAATTTAGATTATAGTAAAAATATGAGCGATTTTTTGACAAAGTGCAAGTGTCGCAATATTTTTATAAACGGACTTACCGAGGAAGTATATACTTGGTAATTCCTAATTTCCATGATTTTTTTTTTATGCAATCCCAATTCTGTAAACGGACTTACAGATCGAGGAAGTATATACTTCGTAATTTCTAATTTCCATGATTTTTTTTTATACAATCCCAATTACCATGATTAAGACTAGCTATATTCTATGTTTGTATTACTTTTATGTTTTAAATAAATCTTGTGACTGAGAAGCGGTGGTAATACGTGTGACTAGTACTGTCAAAACGGTTTGACAGTTCGGTTTCGGTTCGCTTTGAAATCGATTCGGTTTGAAATCGGGTCGGTTTGAAATCGGTTCAAATGTCTTACGGATCGGTTTCAGTTCGGTTTAAATAATTATCGGTTCGATTCGGTTTCGATTTATTCTTTAACGGTTTAAATTCGGTTCGGGTTGTAAACGGTCCGAGTAGTAAACGGTTCGGTGCAAACGGGTTGCGGTTTGTTAATGGTTCGGTGTAAACGGTTTTTATTCCGGTTTAAATTCGGTTCGGGTAGTAAACGGTTCAGTACAGACGGGTTGCGGTTTGTTAACGGTTCGGTGTAAACGGTTTTATCCCGGTTCAAACGGTTTTGGGTTAGAAACAGTTCGGTTCTTTTTTGGTTCAGTTTTATTTTAGTTTGGTTTATAACTGATTCGGTTCGTTAACGGGTTCGTTTCATCTACGATTTAACATTAATCGGATCGGTTTTATTTCAGGTTTACTAAATTACGGTTTGGGTCTGTTTTTTATTTCAAAAAATCGGTTTTTTATCGAGTTGTTTGGATTCTGGCAATTAAACGGTTTTGGTTTGAAATTTGATACTACTTTCTAAGTTTTTGTTGGTTAACAAGTTTTATATCAAGCCGAGACTTCATCACTTCATATTGAGGCATCATATTATATGCAAATTCTCATTAATTTTATAAATACATATCATGTTATGTTTCAAGTTTAGCCATACTGATCTTACTAGTTTATTACAAACTAGATTATAAAAGTTTAGTGCATTAATGATTATTGTTTTACTATCAGATTATTATCTGTTTATTATTTGATCATTTAATTAATAGTGTCATAATTATGATTTGATGAGTTGTTGTGACATCAAAATTTGCAATTTGGTATTCGATACTTAATTAGTCAACAAGACTGATAATTAAGACTTGTTTATCATTATATATTTGCATAAATTTATATATGAAGATATTACAATGTAGTTTGATTTGTTTAATGAAAGAAAACATTAATGAATAAGAAGGTAATATTGATTTTTTCAAGCGATTATACATATACATAACATCTAACTATCTCATATTCTTATAGTTAAATATTTATTAGTATAAAGGGATGAGAATCATAAGATTATTATATTTTTGTATATCCTTTACTGGTTTACCCCTAAGGCTTAAGTCGCTAATTAGTAATTACTAATTACTTAATTAGACTAACAAGTTAATAAGAAAGAGTAACTTTTAACTTGAGTCGAATAGATCAAATACTGAAATGCTATTAGTATATTACCGAGTAGGATAGTCTAGTACACTGTTAATCTGTTATGCAACTATGCTGAATTGACAATTGCTCATATAGTCATATTAGTCAATCACTCATGTAGTCATATCTAATTAAGTAATTTGTACTTATGTACTAATCTACTAGTCAATTTGGATGTGCTCATTGAGGTGTGTTTAATGCTTGCTTTCACTCTGGCTAATTGAATGCATGATCTAATTAATTAATAAACATGTGCGCATAATAATTATGTTTCAAATAAAAGAAAAAATAAAACAAATATGTGCATAATTAGATTTTATTTAAAGTACCTTTTAACTTGGTTTTAATCTTTTCTTTATAGTCAGTGGTTTGTAAACGGTTCGATTTATAAGCGATTCGGTTCATAAAAGGTTCGGTTTATAAACGGTTCGGTTTATAATCAGTTCGGTTTATAAACGGTTCGGTGCAAACGGGTTGCAGTTTGTTAACGGTTCGGTGAAAACGATTTTTATGCCAGTTCAAACGGTTTCGAGTTAGAAACGGTTCGGTTCATTTTCGGTTCGGTTTCCTTTCAGTTCGGTTTAGATTTGGTTCGGTTCTTAAACGGTTTAACGTTACTCGATCGGTTCGGTTTCGGGTTTACTAAAATGCGGTTCGGGTCGATTTTTGGTTTCAAACAGTCGGTTTTTAATTGGTTCGGTTCTTATTCAGATCGGTTTGAACCAGTTCGGTTCTGTTTTTGATAGTGATACGTGTGACACTACAATGTGTTGGAAATAATGCTAAGGAAAAGAGTTTGTTTGTTTTGTAGGAAAACATGTTGTCCTATATTGGTGGGATAAGGGAATTTTACTTGTTTTATATTTTGGTGAAAATGAATTTGTCGCACATTGGTGGGAGAAGAAAGTTGTACTTGATTAAAATATGTGTGTTTAAACATAAATATTTGAAGTACTATTTGTGGGCTGGAAGGGGCATTCCCACGCGTGTGGCCGTTGTTTGGCCTGTTTGTGTGCATGGTGTGTCTACTTTTTAGGCCAAGTCATAATTAACGGTCTAATTTTTATGACACCGTTCAATTACGAAGTCATTTTATGAACTCTAAGCTTGTTTGGTTGAATCAAACTTATCCTAAATGATGCGGGAGCAAGTAGGTGCGCAAGTCGTTGCCTTCTAAACTTTATCATCGTATATTAATCATCAAGATGGCATCACCTCTAAAGTATGAAACTTGATTAAAAACAAAATTAATCAATTAAACAAATATATCTGTTTTAGCAAACCAATTAGCTACATTCATGCCTAGGATAAGTGTACCACGTAATTACTACGTAAAGGTCATCCTATCCAACTTTCAGGCATTAATATACATTTCAGGGTCATCCTATCCAACTTTCCGGCATTAATATACGTTTGAGGCGTGGATGATTATTTGGGAAATACTACTCCATATAAGATCAAGCAAATAGTAACAACGGGAATTACTTTACTTACCTTTTTTTTTTCTTTTCAAGATGTCCCATTTAACTTGCCTCGATTATTTCTCTATAAGTTGAAAATTTTCACTTTACTATATTTTTTTTTTCTCTCTTAAGGGTCTCACATTCATACATATACATTTCAATTTACGTTTTCACTTGCACAAAATCTTCTTGGATAAATAACTACTCCATATGAGACAAAGTAGCTACTAAGGCAAGTAGCTAATATGGCAAGTAGTAAAGACTGGAATACACTACGAGTACTTCTTTTATCATTTGTGAGGTAGACTCTGCCTCCTTAAATGAATATGGCAAGTAGCTAAGCAATAAGTACGACTGGCATGTTTCTATCCACAACAATCATATACGGAGTACAATTTATATATATCTATTTTACATCATTTATTTTCACAAAAACACATTCATTTCAATATTATTATTAAAAAAATATAAAAAAAAATAAAAAATAAATAAATAAAGGTTAATTTGAGTAACACTACTTAAGAGAATAACTTACTAGTTGCTCCCACTCAATACATTATAAAAACCCACAATATTTTTTCTCAAAAAAGCCATACCTTTTCTATTCTACCCTTTTACACAAATCCTTTATTTTTTGTACCTTAAAAAAATATGGGACTCCTCTTAATACCACTCTTTCCAACGGTTTAGGTTCAAACTACCACCCGGTCCGAAACCCTTACCAATTGTCGGTAATATATACGATATTAATCCGGTACGGTTTAGGTGCTTCCACGAGTGGGCCCAAACATATGGCCCAATAATCTCCTTCAAGTTTGGGCCTGAATTAAACGTCGTCGTTTCAAATGCTGAGCTTGCTAAGCAAGTGTTAAAAGACCATGATCAAAACTTGGCTGATAGACATAGAAAACCATCAGCTAGATTTACAAAAGATGGCAAAGACCTAATTTGGGCTGATTATGGGCCTCATTATGTTAAAGTTAGAAAAGTTAGTAATTTGGCTTTGTTTACTCCCAAAAAGCTTGAGGCCCTAAGGCCCATTAGAGAGGATGAGGCTACTGCTATGATCGAATCACTCTTCAATGATTGTACTAATCCTGGTAATTAAGTTTTTTTGCTTCAAATTTTTTCATTTAGAACAAAGTTTTTTGCATTTTATATTAGACGATTTTCACATTAGTATTTGACATCAAACAAGTAAATGTTCATTGATATTCATATAGTATTATGGGTTATAGCTGATTAAACTTGGCCTAACTCAGTTTTGGCTGGGTTTTTTCATTTGACATACTCTCATCGTTGTTTTACATGTTTCATTTGCACTATTTGCATGTCTTAATTTAACCATATTGCTCTATTAACATAAAATATAGTTCAATTGGTTAGAGCTTCCCTGTCTAGCCTTTTAGGGGATCTTGTATTAGATTTGTTTCATTAATAATATATACTCCGTATGAGCTAGGTTACATTCAAAATAGAAACATCATTTTGAAACACCCAAAATGAAAAACAAGAACATCATTGTAGAACGGGAGGAGTATTTTAAATTTTTTTATATCAAGATTATACAGAAATTCCAGCTCCAAGTTTGGCCCACCCAAACCATAGCCTAACCTTAACATGTTCCAAAACCGTCTCTACTCCAAAATAACAAGTAATAATCCATTTATATTTAAGGTAAGGATAATAACATAAGTACTTAGTAATATATGTTGCCTTAATTTAATTAGTCTTTCAATACTCTATTTTTTAAATAGCACATCCTAATAGTGAAGTTGATAATAATTAATTCATAATTGTTGTTGACGCAGAAAACAAGGGGAAACCCTTGAACATAAGGGGGTACGCAGGAATAATGTCATTCAACAACATCACAAGGTTAACCTTTGGAAAGAGGTTTATAAACCCTAAAGGTGAATTAGACCCCGTAGGTAAAGAATTGAAGGGCGTACTATCTAGTCGAAAGGCGAAAATTAACAACGCAAGCATCTTGACTGAGCACCTTCCATGGCTCCAATGGTTGTTATCGGGTCTTGATAAAAAAGATAAAGAAGAGGCTGCAATGATCAATGCTCGTTTAGACCAATTTATCAGAGAAATTATTGAAGAACATGCTAAAGCCAAGTCCATTAATATTGGTGGTGCAAAACAACACTTTGTTGATGCCTTGCTCACTTTGAAAGATGAATATGATCTTTGTGAAGACACTATGTTTGGTCTTCTTTGGGTATGTTTAACATAGAGACACTATTTATTTGTTAAATAAAATTTCAACTTGCTTGCACATATAATGCTTTTATTGTTCATACCTCATTTATAGGAAAACTTGAGTTATTTTTGAAGTCACCAAAGTACAAATTGAGTTATTTTTTAAGTCACCAAAGTCAAAATTGAGCTATTTTTAAAGTCACAAAGTTATTGTACACCCGCCTTTTTTAAAAGTTTTTGTTGTTGATTTGGTGCAGGATATGATTGTTGCTGGTGTGCATACTGTTGCTATTTCAATTGAATGGGCTTTAGCAGAGATAATACGAAATCCAAGAGTACAAAAGAAAGCCCAAGAAGAGTTGGACCTAGTTATTGGGTCTAAACGAATCATGACTGAAGAAGACTTTTCAAACCTACCTTACTTGAAAGCCATAGTCAAGGAGTCTTTTAGGCTTCACCCCCCAACCCCTTTAATGATACCCCATAAGGCTAGAGCCCATGTCAAGATTGGCGGGTACGATATCCCGAAGGGCTCCATTGTTCACGTAAACGCTTGGGCCTTGGGTCGAGACCCTAGTGTTTGGGGTGACGTGAACCTGTTTCGACCAGAACGATTTTTCGAAGAGGATATTGATATGAAGGGTCATGATTTTCGATTACTACCTTTTGGGGCGGGTAGACGGATATGCCCCGGAGCACAAGTGGGAATAAATTTGGTTACATCAACCTTGGGTCATCTTTTGCACCATTTTGAATGGAAACCACCAAATGGTGTTAAGGTTGAAGAAATAGACATTAGGGAGAGTCCAGGACTTGTTACTTACATGAAAACTCCATTACAAGCAGTTATAGTTCCAAGGTTACTTGCAAGCTTGTACAAACGTGTACCGGTCGATTTGTAAACATTTTGGATTTTTTTTTTCAAAGAAAAAAAGACACTTTGATTTTTATTTTTAAGTAGGTATTAATGATTTAATAAGATCATATGTACGTGTAGTATTCAATTTTGCATATCGATAAGGATTGTATCTTTCAATTTTACTACAATAACAAGGTTCATTTCTCTCTTAATTTTAAAATAAATCTTGTATAATGACTTTGCACAATTCACATACATCACTTTGTCTAATGTTGGTGCTTTATGTATACATTGTTATCGTATAGTTTATGAACATCAATTTTTTTTATGATTTATAATTATTGATAATTAGAGATTATTGGTCAAAGTTTTGCGTTAACAAATATACTTATTAAAATGGGACACTTATTTTGAAATAGAGGACCAAATTTTATTACATGAATATAAATATATAACATGGTGTCAACTTTCAAATGAAAACCTTGTTGACTTATATTATTGTACTATCACCGTTACATATTATGTGCATCTTTTAGGTATTATTTATGAAATGTAAAATATTCAAAAGTTGCACATAATATGTAATAGAGGTAGTAAGACAATTACCATAAACTTTAAGAGACGAAAAGGGTACTATATTATGCGTTCATACTTAAGGGATGAGAGTCTTTCTATGAAGAGGTTAAAACTGTGATCACCCCCCATCATGCTAACTCTAATATATTTTCCTGAGACACCGAAACCAAACCGTGAGCCATTCCTTACTCGGATCCTTAGTTTTTTGCGTTAGTATTTCAGCATCTTCACCCGTTTTACACTCCAACCATGCAAAGGCTGCACATACACAAGTAAAAAATGTTCAAATTATGATTATTTAATTTGACCATTAGGTCAAGACCTCATCATTATAGCAAGTCGTACCTGGAGTGGGATGAGTGAGCTTTCCAAAGAAGTTACAGAATCCCGGAGAAAAGTTAGGGAGGTTAATGGTTCCAGTGTGTTGGACAGCGGCTCTTAGCTTCTCCCAACGCTGTGCCAAGGTGCGGTGGCCATAATCAAATAGCCCTTCAACATCGAACAAATTAGGCTTCATAGGAGGCTTTTCATGCTCATAGTACGCATCATGTTCATATCTATCAGCAACGAAATGAAAGAGCTTTGTTGCTCGAAGTTGCCCTTCATGACAACTTCCAATGCTCATCAACAATATTTGTTTTTTCATCTTTTTGGCAATCTCTTGATCCTTTACAACGGCCCACCTTTTAATACGAAATACCCATAACAATTCACAATAATTTCTTGCCGGTGATGTCATAGTGTTTTATTTATAAGATTGTACATGTAAATTAAAAAATTTGTCAATTACGAAGTATTGAAATTCAAGAGATTTAACGAATTATAGTGCATTGATATATATATATTATTCTGACAAGTATAGATGACTTTCAAAAATAATTCTCCTAATATCTATATATACTTCCTCCGTTAACATTTATTTGCAACATTTACCCAAAAGGGATGCTAATTATTATTTGCAACATTCCCAAATCTTTCCATTTTTAGTAATTTTTTTAAAATAAAATTACAAAAACACCCTTACTTAAAACTTTATAACATCAATTACATACTTAAAACATAATTGATAAAAAACTAATCCAATCTAATTAAACTTATTTTATATCATTCAATAATCATCAATCCTTCATCATCTCTTCATCTTCCCTATTATCTTTCTCTCTCCTCCATCATCTTCTTCATTCCTCTTCCCTCGTAATCTATTTTCTCCATCTTCATCCTCTTCAACATTAACTTTCTCTCTCCTCCTTCAACCACTTTTCATGAATTGAAGAAGAAAGACACTCAATTTCAGATATGGAGAAATGGCGGGTTTCGGATCTGGGTTTGTGGGTGGTGGGTTAGGCGGTTTCGGGTTCGAAAGGTGGGTGGTTTAGGGTGGCGTCGGTGGTGGTTTTGGGTTTTAAAGGTGGTGGTTTTGGGTTCGTTGGGTTGTTTATTGGGTTTCTGTGGTGGTTTTGGGTGGTGGTTCGAAAGGTGGTGGTTTTGGGTTCGTGGGGTGGTTCGTGGTGTGTGGTGGTTTTCTAGGTTTTCTGTTGGTGGTTTGCTGGGTTCGTGGGTGGTTTGTTGGGTTTTGGTGGTGAAAGTTGGGTTCGTGGTTGGGTTTTGGTGGTGTTTCAGGTTCTGAGGGTCGACGGGTTTGGTAGTTCTGGTGGTTGTCGGTGGTTTTGGTGGTGGTTCTGGTTTTGTGCCTACTAGAAAACAGGCCATTTCCGACGGAAATATTCCGTCGAAAACACCCTGAATTCCGTCGGAACGTGTTGTCGGAAGACCCTTTGTAGGAAAAATGCCCATTTCCGTCGAAAATTCCGTCGGAATAGTGGTTTCCGACGAAATATTTTCGTTGGAAGAGGTTTTTCCGGTACCAGAAAGTCCGTCGGAAATTTTCGACGGAATTCAAACCCGCTGGAAAATTTCGACAGAAATTCCGTCGGAAACTCGTATAGAAAAATATAAAAATAAAAAAAGTCCCACCCACCACTAGCCCACCCCCTGCCCCCACCACCAGCCCACCCTATGCCCCTACAACCCAGAAATAGAATAAAAGAACTTACCTTGAATTCCATCAAAACCACTAATTTTGCTTGAATTTGGGTTTTAAAGGTCAAATTCGACCATGAAAACTCTAAATCTAGGGTTTTCATGGTCGAATTTGACATGAAAAACCGTATTTTGTTGGTTCGTGGTTCGTGGTTCGTGGTTACGTAGCGGCGGTGGTTCGTGGTTACAAACGGCGGTGGTTCGTGGCTTTGGAAACGAAGGGGAAGGGGAAGGAGAAGGAGGAGAGAGAAACAAGGGGAAGGAGAAGGAGGAAAGAGGAACGCAATGAGAAGGAGGAGAGAGAAACGAAGGGGAAGGGGAAGGAGAAGGAGGAAAGAGGAAAGAAAGGAGAAGGAGGAGAGAGAAAAGAAGGGGAAGGGGAAGGAGAAGGAGGAAAGAGGAAAGAAAGGAGAAGGAGGAGAGAGAAAAGAAGGGGAAGAGGAAGGAGAAGGAGGAAAAGCAGAGAAGGAGAAGAGAGAGAAAGAGGAGAGGAGAGGAGAAAGAGAAACAAAGAAAAAATCCGGTTTTTTTTTTTATATATTAGAACGTTCCGACGAATTTATCTGTCGGAAATTTTCCGACGGATAAAAATTCCGTCGGAATAATTGGGTTTTCCGAGGGAATATTCCATAGGAAAATTCCGACAAATTTAAATTCTGTAGGAAAACTAACTTTCCGACGGAATATTCCCTCGGAAGCCTTTGATTCCGAGGGAATTAATTTCCGTCGCAAATATTCCGAAGGAGTTTCCGTCGGAAAGTCCGGATTTTCCGACGGAATTTCAGTCCGTCGAAACGATTCCCTCGGAAAACGGCCTATTTATAGTAGTGTGGGTTTTGGTGGTGGTGCTGGTTTTGTTTAATTGTTTTTTTTTATATATATATGTAGGATTAATACTTAATTACATGCCCTTATATTTCAATAATCATGCTTTAAAAGTTTTGCATTGGCCTTCGCGAAAGGTACAATTGTTGCAAATAACCGTTAACGGAGGAAGTATATATATTATTCTGACAATTATAGATGACTTTCAAGAAATTTAACAAGTCAGGACTGAAATTTTAAGGATTTAGCTTAAAAATAAATGTTCTCCATGTTATGTTCATTAATGTCCAACAATAAAATGACCATTTAAGAAATAAACATGCATGTTAGATGTGTATATGAAACATTTTTTACTGAAAATTTTTATGAAACGGATAGAGTATTTTCAAAGGATAAGGGATTGGTGGAAGTGTAGAACTTACCCTATGCGTGTTCCAGCATGGCCGGTAGTCTTAGACAATGTAAAGAGCATAACATCATAGTCAGCAGGAGAAGTGATGGGTATATAGTGTGGCCAGTAGTAAGCAAGGTCATATATTAGCAGGCCTTCTTCCCTATTCACCACTGGCTTTCGACTTCGACCATCAGGATTATTTGGAGATGTCACCACTTCAATGTAAGGACCTGATTCCTCTTTGAAGGTATTGGCATCTCCTTGCCATTTATAAAGCTCAGATCTCTCTTGCTCCATTGCCTCTTTGTAAAACTGTGCCAAGAAAGACTTGGATATGTCAAAATCAAAATCACACCTTTAGTCATTTCAAAATTCTATTGATCTGGTTAAGGGCGTTGGCACAAGTTTATACATAAATTAATTAAAGCCACATATATTGAAGTGTTGAAGTGAAATTTATTTCGCCCTGAGTATGAGGAGGTTCAAGCTGCATCCACACTTCTAGCCTAACATGCTCACACACATGTGTGAGTTGAGGGGCGTGATAAAACATATTCTTGTATCTCATCAACCATTAACTTAAGATTTTGATTGAATCGCTCCTTTAACAGTTTATTAGTTTCAATCATGTTAAATTAAATGGATTTTTAGTGACTGAAAATTATATTCAATGATCAAAATTTTTAAATTAAAGTGTTGAATAATTACCGAGTAGTAGGGCTCGGCACAAACAACGGGTATGTGCTTATTGTTACAAGTATTACTCTCTTTGACAGTAAAAGCCAAGGCACGAATTGCGGCGATAAACAACTGAGATGAACCCGTCCCTCCGATTATATACCGGCCATCGGTCACTGCATTTCCAACTACACGATGCATCCTCCTAACTGCGTCAATGAACTCCGGCATTTGGTAGATGAAGTCGGGCTCTTTGGGGTTCGCCAAGTAGCTAATCATGTCGGAAGCTTTTATAGTCACCGAGCATTCGTTATCAATGTTCTTCCAGTATGGGTAGAACATCATGGGATCACCACTGCATAAATGAGATGACGCATAACATTAGATAATCCATCTTGCACTTTGTAGTTGTCAGCATTAAACCCATAGTAGGCAAAAATCGCTTGAGCAATTCAACCTTCATTACATTGCCCACCACACCCCACGTACCCACGTTAATCTTTGAATCTTACAAATAACACTAATCAATTAAGGCTATGTTCGGTTTACCTGATATAATATACTTCCTCCGTTATTTTTTACTTGACTTGCTTTGATTTTTACATTATTCA